GAAAGGTGAGGGAGTGAGATGAGTGAAAGGAGGACGAGGGACATTAAAGAGGGTTGTTGGGGTAAACAGTAAACAGGCAGGAGTTTGAGCCACAAAAAAGGAAAAACATGGAGGGAGCAGAACAGTAGCAAAATTGCAACAAATTTTGTCCTTCACTAAGTAAAAAATCTTCATCAAACTGTCAGTCTTTCTGTCAGCTTGTCCATCTAACCATTCTATTTTGGGATGTCCTTCATATCTGCAGTGTAGGCCTGTTTAAATGCAGTTTAAACATTAGTCTGTGGGAGACCATGCTCCGTACTGTATGCATTTAATCTGTGTATGTGTGTAGTTATGCAATTGTGTGTTGTTTTTATTCCATAGGCTGTTTGTGTGAATGTGTGTGTGTTCCCCTATGTGTGCGTGTCCTGTATTCTGTGAGCACCTCCGTCTCTGGAGATAGCAGATCCGAAATCTTCCTCCCTTCCTCCTCTGTTACCATGACAACAGCTACTGCTCTCAACAGGTCGATGGGGGCCTGTCTGAGCTCACACATACACATGCACGCAGACGCACACCGAGATGAGAGAACACACACACAAACACCCTTTGAAGAGCACGCACATGCTTACACACGGATGATAAAGGACCGAAAAACACACACAGACACGGCGCTCTCACATGCTGTGTAATTATAGCATTTAAGCATTACCTGCACACTGCAAGGTCAGCGAGAGAGACAAGGAGAGAGCGGGGGCTAACTACCATCTTCTCCATATGAAATCACACTAAGTGGTAATTTTGAAAAGGTGCCATTGAGTGCATTTACACACACGTTCACTCTGTTTCCCAGCTAACAGCTTACATATTGCATCAGGTCACATGAGGGGTTACACTATTTGTGTGTGTTTTCAACTCAATCAGGAAAGTAGATAAATATTCTCAGCATAACAGGGACGAGTGTTGAGCTCACTTGTGCTGATAATATCAGTATATCCCTGGTTTCTTATTTGGGTTTGTCAAGATAAGAGACTATCGGTGTTATTGTGAGCTGCATGTGGTGGTTATGTGAGGCAACTGCTGAGTATTTTAGAAAATATCAGCCTCCCAGTGCGTATGTGGATGCAGTCCCAGTGTGACAATTTGTCGTAAGCATATGGCTTGATAAAATGCTGAATGTATATGCTAAATTCCGAAACGCCTCAGACAGTAGCACCGCGGTAGATGAAACCTGCTGAGCTAACTGGATGCTGATTTCCATTTTATTTAATTTATTGCTGTTTTCCTTGAGCTGTCAGAGTCAATCCCCCCCATTAGCTTTGGACAAAACTCTTACCACTAATATTTATAAGCTGTTAGAGATGGATATTTGCTATTGTTATGCTGATTAATGTACATTATTAATAGACTTGGTACTTATTTTGATTCTTCACTCAGACCCCCCAAATTTTCCCCATCGTTGTTTTGCTCTCAACAGCACAGCAGCCAGTAGATTTATTATCATGTTGATGGAAAGGGACCTCAAGGGTTTTTTTAAATTATGGGTCAGGAACCCAGAATGAGTCACAGGCCTGTTTTTCTGTGGGTCCCCGCATGTCTGGAGAGTGTTTTAATGAGCCCCTGGTACAAGGGTGAGTGATTAGCTTTGATGCATTTTGGTCCCAGGCTGAATGATCTTGCGGCTGATGATGTTCAAGGGTCAATCCTTAATCCAAACATAAACTAAGTATTACTTACAACATAAAATGCTGAAGATTTCTTTTTCTCCCCCTCGCTATTTCTCTGTCTGCGGGGCTATTTCTGAAACAGTAGTTAAAGCTAGGAAAGATAGCAGGTCTCTTTCTAGAGGGGCCACACACAGTACAATAGCTAGTGTGATTACAGGTAGTACAAGACTGTTAAAGTTGTAAAGTTTACTTCCTACTTAAACTGAAACATGGTTATTTATTTGTTGACAGTGCCATCTCTCTTTAGCCATTAAAGCCTAAAACTATACTGGGTTATTTTAAATATTAATTACTTGAGTGTTTAAGGCCTTGTGGTGGAGCAGGGTTTTAAGAAAAAATTTCACGGTTTCGGTTTATTTCTAAATGTAATATAAGCCTGCTAAGAAGTTCACAATATCCTTTAGTTGCCATGAAAACCTTACTGAATATCAAGTTGGCAACATGGAAATACCTGCTTTCTTGCAAACTAAACTACTTTGGCAATAATGTTGGCCATGTTCACCCACTGCAGACTATTATCCCCAACAAAGTGTTGAATTATTCAACTCTCCTTCCTGGCAGCCATTAGTTCCTGTTCCTTTTGCTGAGAACATCATGTATTGTTGAGTTACATTATGGATACATGGTGATGCAGTTGAAATTGTATTTATAAATGTGCTTTTTTTTCTTTTTCTTCCAGTTTGGTCATTTTCTCTAGTACTGCTGCTAACTCTGTTGGTCTTGGCAGGATGTAGAACAGGGGTGTCCAACTCATTTTGGTTCATGGGCCACATACAGCCCAATTTGATCTCAAGTGGGCCAGACTAAAAAAACATTGCGTAATAACCTATAAATAACAGCACCTCAAACTTTTCCCTTTCTTTTAGTGTCAAGACGTACATGCTGAAAATGTGTATCCATTTACAAACAAATAATGAACAGCCTTCATTTCAATTTCAACAGTATGTCTCAGTTTTTCCAAAGTTAGTCAGTCTACAGCTCACTGCCATTACATGTGCATTTTTCCATACATTTCCACTCCTGTGGAGTAATGCTGACACCAGACTAAAGTGGAAGCTATTGAGGAAGCAGGTTGGGTTATCCTCTGCCTCACAAACCATTTACAAGTCAAAAGTTTTGGGCTTTCAGCAATATTTTTTTAAGGTAGAAGTCTGATACAGATGTTTTTGTACCGACGCTGCTGATTGATAATATGTTGGACAATGTTCAGTATCTTTAAATATGACCATCATCCTTGTTTTTTCAGAGAACTCTGTCTTGTCAGGTTGGAAAAGCCTCTGAAGTGGGCTACTTACCGTTTAACATGCTCCTGAAACCTGACCTGTTAGCCTTCACAAGTGCATGAATATTAGGTGTGCAACGTTTTCTAGTTGGCCAGACCCTTTGGCAGGCCGGTTCGTGCTTGACACTCTTGATGTAGACTATAGAGTTCAGTATATTCACTATCCAGCATTGTCTGCACATGTACCCCAGCCAGCCATTACCAGTTGTTATAGTTCAGCAGCAAGTATCCCTCATTGGCTTCCAACCTGCAAAAACTGCCACTTGTTGGATGGAAAGTCCAGCAAAGTCAGATTCAGTGCAGCAAAAGCCTGCATTCATAGTGTGATGTAATGTGTTGAACGTGAAAGTGTACACTAGTTTGCTTATGCTTTGTGTTATAGGTTTGAGATTCTGACAACTCATCAATGCATTGCTGTTTAGGTTATAAGACAAGATCTGGAGTCTAGACTAATTTGACATGCAGCCAAGAGAGAAGGAAGAACGGGAGGGAGAAAGGAAGGAAGGAAGGAAGGAAGGAAGGAAGGTAAGAATGGAAGGAGAGAGCAAAAGGAGGTGGAGGGAGGTGACAGCAGTGGCAGTTAGTAATTGTGTTGATGAAAACCAGACCTCCTTTATCTCACCCTCACATTCTCTCTCACTCTCCATTCTCTCCCACTTTGCATCTCTTCCTCGCTCTCGCTCTCTCTGAGGCCAAAAATAATGAGGTCACTCCCCTCTCAAGGACCGTTCCATATAAAAACGCTCAGTGTCTCTCCTCTCTCTCATTCCATCTCGCTCTCACTCTTTCTCTGTCCACATCCCATCTTCCACGCGACAGGCCTGCTCCTCGACGCACCCATATTAGGGCATGCACTGTCTCTCTAACCCCCCTCGCACACACAAAGAGGTTCCTAAGTGACCCAATATGTCTTATTGTTAACGCAAAGGCAAACTCAACAGCTTTGATCTCCCTCACTGTGTACACTGGTTGTGCACTCTGCTACGTGTGTATATATACCTCTGCTTATGTAAGGATGTATTAGCTTGTTTAAAAATACCTCTGTTAAAATAACACGCCTGATATGAAGACGCTTTCTATTCAGGAAAGGTCAGAAGTCAGAGTCTGTATTATTTTGTATTGTGTACTAGGCGTTTTCATGGATCACTGAAAACCTACCTGAACTTTACAGAATTATATTTTTTAAAAAGGCCCCAATTTAAAAAGGACCTGAGGACAGGCAGACCAGGTCCAAAATAGACCCGCAGGTAATTAGACCTGATTTAAAGCGGCAACATGGTTTGTACAGACAGACCAGAACATAGAGAGAACACCAATTAACAAACAGCCATGTCCAAAAAGTAGCAGTTCACAAAATGTGCCTCATCTCATTTGTTTTCTCCTGCAGTGATTGTGAAGTATCACATGGTCAGGGCTTAAAGTCCAGTCAGATCTCCCCATGTAAAGGACATAGAAGGCATTTTCTTACTTCTAAAAACATAGCTCCAAGAACCTCTTCTTAATTGTGACCACACCACAAGAATTAGGAATATATTTGGTACGATTGATTCAGGTGCTGCTGTCAGGCGCAGAGCTCTCCACCTCTTGCTGGAGCTAGGACTGCAGATCAAGGCTCCAGCGAAGTTGGATTTGGGTGTGTCGGTGGCGGCCTGTGCTGCCGTTTTACTGCTGGCTTTACTGAACATATGTGTCAAAGTGAAACAGGCATAGTTCTGCTTATATCACTTAAGTTGGTGTTGGTAGTGCAAATGCAAACAGAAAAGAAGCCTTGAGTTAGCTCCCCAGTAGGCAGGGAGTCCCCAGGACTGTTTGGTCTGAAAACATCTAACGTTACATAGTCCCAGTATCAGCGGCAGTAGCATGGGACACACTTAGACTGATTATTTTGACCCGTCCTGAAGTAAATGTGAGTTAAGAGTATTCAAGTAGAAGATCTGTGCTGTGTAAATGTCTTCATTCTTTTGTTCTGTGTACTGTGTTCCGCTGTGTATATTCCTTAACCCTCCTGCCAGACCATTTGAGATCATCATCCTGATGACCATTTTCGCCAACTGTGTGGCCTTAGCCGTCTACATCCCCTTCCCTGAGGATGACTCAAACGCCACCAACTCCAACCTGGTGAGTAATCCACATTATTTAAACTGCTTTACAGATAAAAGTTCTCACTAGCTGTTTGGTCCACTACTTGCTGGTATAAAAGACTGCTTAGCCCATTGGCTAGTCTTTCCTCCAGTCCTGGAGGGCAGGGTTTCTTGATTTTAGAGTTTGTAGCCTGACACCTGAGTTTCCCATGTGGATATATTCTCTTGACTCACATTTTATTAGATGTGTGGTTGGTCCATGAAATATTTCATTCGAAGTTTTTGCTGTTAATTAGCTGAGCCACATGTCGTTTGCACATATCCAGCTGATTCCATTGTGTGTGTAATTTGCTGCCATGTATATAGCAAGCAGTAGTGGGGGATGCTGTATTACACTGTGACTGCTTCATGAAGGTGACAGACAAGAGGTGTGGAGTGAAATAACTGAGAGGCAAAGAGTGGAGGAGATAAATATGAGAGCAGAAGGGAACGGGAACAAATAAAGAAATGAAGTGGGGAGAAAAAAGACATCTTTTCCTCAGAATAACATCTTCTTTGAGCATGATTTCCTCTTATCATTGATTGTTTGGATACAGCAGAGCTGTTGATTATGATGTTCCACTTTGAAGCCTGAGGAAAATGGAGGGTTTCGGTTATTTGGACTGAGGACTCTTGAGTTGTATCAAAAAAGCCATGTGAGTTGATTTGATCAAAGGCAAAGCATCATTTTCTTGTGGGCAACAGAATTTTTTGGCTAAGGAGGAAATAGTTGTTGTGATTGAGGATTGATTTTGTGGTTGCCAAAATGCCATTTAGTCTAATGTAGTAAATGTAGTATAATCTGATATTTTTCAAAGTAAAGCAGAAATACCTCACAAAACAAAGACATCTGTTGCTTCAAAACTCTGATTTTCTGACTGCGTCTTGCCAAACCTCTTATCTAATTATCTTAACCTGGCCACTCACCAGAGTGTGTGTGTGTGTGTGTGTGTGTGTGTGTGTGTGTGTGTGTGTGTGTGTGTAAAGCAGCATGTTGCTCAGGGGTTATATAAATCAATATCCATCCATCCATTAGCTATACCCACTCATCCTTGAGGATGAGCCAATCCCAGCTGACACTGGGCGAGAAGCAGGGTCCACCGTGAGATCACCAGCCAATCGCATGGTTATAAATCAATATGATCACTTACATCTGTACAATTTATGTGTGTGTATGTATGTTTGTGTGTGTGTGTGCTTGCAGATGTATGCCAGTGTATTAGTGAGAGGAGGACCCTAATCCCTCAGAGGCCATGCAACATCTGTCACTCTGTCTTTCTTTACTTCTTTCGAGGAATGATTTAGCCACATTGACTTATTTTACATCACTTATCAACATGTCCATGCATGAGCTAAGTGCTTATTGAAAGGAGAGGAGGAGGAGAGCAGCCAGTTGTCACATGACCAAACAAAAGGACTATCAGGGACCTTGTCTATTCAAAAAGTTACTTACTTACATATGCAATGTATCTTCATACAACAGTTTGCACGGCCTGTCTCTTTACACAGACTTTAGTCTTACTTTTACAACTTCCCTCTCTACCCCCGTCAGTGCATTGATCACGTGATTGCAGTCATCATGATTTTGTTGGTTATATGTGAATTCTGGTTCATTACTTTTTGTAATGGCAGGCAGCGCATCATGGCAGCCTGACGTATGTGAGTCGAGTACTAACGTTTGTTTTACTGTGTATCTACCCTCTGATTCCTCCTTTAATGACAGTGTCAGAGCAGGTATATGAGTCAGTGGAAGAGTAAATAGAACTGAGGGAGGACAGCTGTTTTCATCTTCTTAATTTGTGTCCATCACCCACTCTTTCTGCCTCTCTTTATATCTCTCTGATTTCTGTAGGAGGCAAACATACAGCAATTACATTACTTTCCCTGCAAGGCTTTGCAGATCAAGTCTCAGTGATCACATTACAATTAACAATTTAAGGCATTAGCTTCTGTAAGTGCTTTATTAGTTTAATATCATTAAGAAATCCACTTGTATTATCCAGCCTTTGAATCATGTAAAAAACAAAAAAACTTAAATCACAGGTAGAGAACTAATGAATGAACCAGCAAAGAGTAAATTCTTTACAACTCAGACAGTCAGAACTTAGAAATTCAGCTTCTGATGTATCTTTACAGCCTGGACTTCCAGGATGAGTAGTCCTTAATGAAATCAGGCAGCACAGCCGTAGTGAATATTTTGTGTTAGTACTGACTTTTCTTATGTAATGTAAGTGGGGTCAATCATGGCATGTAAGAAAAGTAATGCTTAATGTGTAATTTAGAAAGTTCAAGCTCCTTATTATCAGCATATACACAACAATTACAGAGAAGCAGTTGCTGGTAATATAAATCTTGGATCTCAGACTCCATCCAACAATGCTGATTAAATATGTATTAAAAAGAAATAAAAGAAAATCACACAAATAAAAACAATAAAACAAAACAAAAAGAGAATCTGATACATAAAACAGTGCAAGTTAAAGCTGTTTATGCCTTTTTTAATTTTGTTTTTGTATGTATATAAGTAGAAAAGATTTACTTAGTGTGTAATTTATTTATGTTTTCCTCGGACAGTCTAAACTGAATAGCAGTAAGTCTACTGTCTCTCACTGTCTTTCAACACCATGAGGAGCATTTAATGCTACTCTCTTAGCTGTTGTGAAACAGTATACAACATGACCCACTGACATGCAGACACATACACACACACACACACACGGACATGCACGAGCATGCATACACTTAAATGCAAAATTTGGCCTGCTACATTTTCAGGTCTTCTATTCTTGCAGGGTTATTTAGGACATCACTGGTGCCCCCTCCTAGTTAATGAAAAGATACAATGCACACACACACACACACACACACACACGCACAACCTACTCACCACCACCACAGCTGTGGTCAATTAGTTTTATAACCTTCTGACAGACAGGAAGCAGTGTGCAGATGGACCAGAAGGCTTAACTATATGGTTGAACCATGTATCTGTGTGTGTGTGTGTGTGTGTGTGTGTGTGTGTCTGTACATGTCTTTGTGTATGTGTGTGGTATTAGCAAGTATACAAGTTAAAACACTCCCACATTTGGTTTTAACTTGAAATACTTTTGCAGCCTCAATATGTGTCTCTCATTGTAAATATTTTCAAGCTCTTTATTTATATACACATTTGTGTAAAACAAAACTTGAGTTTACAAGTAAACGGATTTATTTAGCATCCAGACATGAAACAGCAGTTTCTTGGTTAAAATAAAAATGGCCAATGCTGCAAGGGAACTCAACAAGCCAGTTAGTGCCTTGGCCAATACTAACTCAAGCTGCTGTAAAGGGGTGTGCTGGAACCACTGAGGAATAATAACACCAATAGGGAGCACTTTAGACATGAGAGACACTGCTATTGAGGCTGATATAAAACCGACATGTCCTCTCAATGTCGCCTGACATTGTAGTTTGTTATTCTTTGCTCTGCTCCACTCTTAAAACCCTGGGAAAACCAGCATGTTGGCATAGCCACACTTCCATGTGGACTTAAAATGATGTTATATTCAGGCAGATATATTGGTCTGTAGCGATTAGTTAGGAAAAATGAATTCCCCTCCTCCGCAGAAATCAGTTAGAGTGGATGTATGTCAGCCTGAAGATGGAAACGGAGTAGAACAAGTTGACAATTCTATGACATCAAGCAAGTCTCATTATGTAATGTAGACATATGTTTTCTTATGAAAACTAATGCAGCCTTATTTTGAAAGGCTGCGCTCATGTGATCAATACACTGACAGGAGTAAAGAATGAAGCAGTCCCGAGTGATTTTGTATGGTGGTAGGTTGAGGTGGATGGGACTCCAAAACCCGGACTTTCTCCTTAAGTCGTGCGTTCAGAGCCATGTGAACTTTGAGTAAACTTTGAGTCATTTTAGGGGATGCCCTTGCCATGTTACGTTTCCTAAAACTAACCACAGTACCTTTACTTGCCTAAAACTAAACTCTGTAACTTTACTTGAAGGACATATCGTCATTCATGTGGTGCTAATTTGTAGGATGTCATGCATTTTTGGTAGGATGCCATACAAATTGTTCTATGAGAATATGTTGACCATGATGAATTAAAAATATATATATAACATTTTAAAGAAATGCCTTCTTTGACGTTGCCAGAGATGCATCTCAAGCATGTTTAATTTGCTTGCAACATGCATTCACTTTGACAGTTGACCTTATCCAGTTCTTTTATTGCGTTTGCAAAACAGTGATTAAAACCCAGAACTGCCAGAATCCATCTTAAGTGCAACACACACCGCTGCCGTACGCCGCGCGTCAAAACGCCCGCCTCCATTATATTCTATGAACCAACCCACACTGGTGCCGGCGGCACGCCGCGCCGCTCTGCTTCACCCCACTGCTCTATTTCCAGCGCGGCTGGCGCTCATGGCAGCGCTGCGAGAAAAGCCTTTTATGTCTAGTCTCGTTGGATCAACTCCGGTTGTTTCAAATTTTTAATAAGACGACTTTGATAAGAAACTCACCCGTGAAATTCAAGTTGTTGTTACCTCCAAGTTTTTCCTCTTCTTCTTCTGTTACTAGCAGTTGGCAACCGTTGGCAACTAGTGTAGGTACAGCCACCTAGCGGGCTGGGGTGGGAAATACATGTTGACGGTGCCAGTGTGTGTTGGGGGGCGGCCCTTGACGGCCACAGCGCCGCGCCGGCGGCGGTGTGTGTTGCACTTTACCTCTCACTGGTGAATCTTCCGTGGTGAATCATTTGGATGATGGATTTATCAAGAGCTGTTTACAGAGCTCGTTTTGTTTAAGCTCACTCTAACAGACCAGCTGACCCCTCATGCACATTTGGGAAGAACCTGTTACCTCACCAATTGTTTCAGGATTGTCCTGACACTATTATAAGTTGTTTCTTACAGCATAGCCTTTGCATTCCACTGCTACAAACTGCGAGGTAACCCTCTCATTAAATGTAATGTGGGTTTGAGCCGCAGGAGGCTTT